TTCCCTCTATCCTTACCAGTCTCCCAGTCCCTGCCGCTGAAAAGCATCCCCATAGCATGATGCTGCCACCACAATGCTTTACGGTAGGGATGGTGTTAGATGGGTGATGAGTTGTGTCTGTGTCACGCTCTGGCTCCGGGACTTTGTATGTTGAGCCAGGGTGTGTTCGTTTCGTTGTGTTCTGTTTGGTTGGGTTGTTCTATGTGGTTGTATTTCTTTGTTTGGATGAGTGACTCCCAATCAGAGGTAACGAGTGTCAGCTGTTTGGCTCGTTGTCTCTGATTGGGAGCCATATTTATAATGTCTGTTTTCACCTTGTGTTTGTGGGTTTTTGTTCCTTGTCAGTCATTGTCTGAGGACGTTACGTATCGTTTATTGTTTTGTATTCGTGTTTGCACTTTACTATTAAAGTATGTTCGCTCAACACGCTGCGCCTTGGTCCTCTCTAACCAACGATCGTGACAGTCTGGTTTTCTCCAGAACTAGCGCTTTGCATTCAGGCCAAAGAGCTGCATTTTTGTCTCATCAGACCACATAATATTTTACCTTATGCTATGAGTCTTTCACGTGCATTTTTGCAAACGCATGATGTGCTTTATTGTGCATTTTTCTCAGGAGTGGCTTCCGTCTGGCCACTCTCCCATAAAGACCAGATTGGTGAAGTGCTGGTAGAGACCTTCTGGCAGGTTCTCCCATCTCAGCCAAGCAACTCTGTAGTTCTGTCAGAGTGGTCATTGGGTTCTTGGTCACCTCCCTGAACAAGGTCCTTCTTGCCCGGTTGCTCAGTTTGGTCGGACAGCCAGCTCTAGGCAGAGTCTGGGTAGTTCCATATTTTTTTCATTTCCCAATGATGGAGTCCACTGTGCTCTTGTAAACTTTCAACACTCTAGAAATTGTGTTATACCTTTCCCCAGATATATGCCTCAACACAATTATATCTTAGCGATCTAAGGACCGTTCCTTGGACTTCATGGTATAGTTTATGCGCTAACATGCACTGCCAACTGTGGGACCTTATATAGACGATGTGTTTCTTTCTAAATCATGTCCAATCAAGTTGTAGTGACATCTCAAGGATGATCAAAGGAAATTGGATGCACCTGAGTTCAATTTGGAGTCTCATAGCAAATGGGGTGTGAATACTTATGTAAATAAGTATACATTTGCAAAAAATTCTAAAAACATATTTTCACTTTGTCATTATGGGGTATTGTGTGTAGATGGGTGAGAGAAAAAACATATTTAATCCATTTTTAATTCAGGCTGCAACACAACACAATGTGGAATAAGTCAAGAGGTATGAATACTTTCTGAAGGCACTGTAAAACCACACCCTGTTTCTTATCCAAACAAGATACAACACATTTCTGAGGAAACCAATTGCTCCAACCTGGTCTCAGTGATAGACATAACATAGTAAATGTAAATCTGGGATACTCCAATTAGTATAATATGTTACGATTTACAATTCATATATATATATGTTATGAATTGCAATTCATACAATATGTTAACATTTTGCAAAACGTATGATATGTTACAAATTCCAATTTGTTGTGGCTAACATTAGCTAGGTGGCTAACGCTAACATTAACTAGGTGGCTAACGTTAGCTAGGCTAGGGGTTAAGGTTAGGGTTAGGAGTTAGGTTAAAGGTTTAAGGTTAGGGTTAGGGGAAGGGTTAGCTAACATGCTAAGTATTGCAAAGTAGCTTAAAACAAGTAAGTAATTGCAAAGTTACTAATTAGCTAAAATGCTAAAGTTGTCAGTGATGGGATTTGAACATGCAATCGTTGTGTTGCTAGACATTTGCGTTATACGCCTAGCCATCCACCCCGTTTTACCACCCTACTTTTCAAACACACCAAGAAAGTCGTGAAGAGGGCACGACAATGCCTTTTCCCCTCAGGAGACTGAAAAGATTTGGCATGGGTCCCCCTAAAAAAGTTATACAGCTGCACCATCGAGAGCACCCTGACAGGTTGAATCACCGCCTGGTAAGGCAACTGTTCGGCATCAAACCATAATGCGATACAGAGGGTAGTGCGTACGGCCATCCAGGACCTATATACTAGGTGGTGTCAGAGGAAGGCCCTAAAAATTGTCAAAGACTCCAGTCACCCAAGTCATAGACTGTTCTCTCTGCTACCACACGGCAAGCGGTACCGGAGTGCCAAGTCTAGGTCCAAAAGGCTCCTTAACGGCTTCTACCCCCAAGCCATAAGACTGCTGAACAATTAATAAAATGGCCACCCAGACTATTTGCATTGACACTCCCCTCCTTTGTTTTTACACTGCTGCTACTCGCTGTTTATTATCTATGCATAGTCACTTTACCCCTACCTACATGTACAAATTACCTCGACTAACCTGTATGTAGCCTCATTATTATTATTTTTTGTATTTTTTGTAACTTTCGTTTATTTAGTAAATATTTTCTTAACTCTATTTTCTTAAAACTGCATTGTTGGTTAAGGGCGTTTCACTGTAAGGTCTACACCTGTTGTATTCGGCGCATGTGACAAATAAAATGAACTATACCAAACGTAACATATCATACTAATTTGAGTTCCCCGATTTACGTTTACTATGTTACATCTAGTCTATGTGACCAGGTTGATTTCACAGAAAAGATAACAAATATGAAAATGATGTCTTGTTGTGGTTCAGGAAGTTTGTTTTAAACTGTTTCAACGAGCATTGCAAAATCAGACACAGTTGGACTAAAGTTTCTGTTGAGACAGGCAATGATGAAACATCAGCAACATCTGATATGTATTAACAGTATCTACTCAATCATACACTTTACTACTTATTTGTGCATCCTGTCTTTTCAGCAGAAGGGAATTCTGCTTCTCCTTAGCAAGGTGCCACTTAGATAAATCTGATCATCTGATCTATAAATCACCTAATTTACAGTTAACTGAGCATGACCAGATCAATCAATCAAATGTATTTATATCAGCAGTTGTTGCAAGGTGCTTATACAGAAACCGAGCCTAAAACCCCAGAGAGCAAGCAATGCAGATGTAGAAGCACGGATCCCTACGATATTGCGATTAGTGATTCTGCACAGCGAGGACAAACGAGCAGTATATCTACTTTATTTGATCCTTTCATTCCCACAGGAAGAACACACCCTCATGACTGGCACTAGGTACAAACACACCCAGAGGGCAAGGAGTTCCTCTCAAATATTTAAGCCTGGCTGCAATAGCCTCAAACTGGAGTTATTTTACACAACACTGTACTATAGGGATACTGTAAATATACTGTATGGATTTTCTATACCAGGTCAAAGCAAAACTTTCACATCACACCAAGTTAGCTCTCCTTTGATCAAATATTGAATAGGTAATTCATTATCAAATACATAATTATCAAATACATACAGAAGGATGAAGAATGCACCCACTCCCTCTCAACTATTACAGGAATTTGCCCTGCAATAGATTATTGGTGTTTCTTGGTAACTAACTGTAAACCTTGATTTGAAACGTCATTTTATGATTGATGATTTTATTCAGATCCCCATTAGCTGTTGAAGAAGCAGCAGATACTCTTCCTGGGGTCCACACAAAATATGAAACATGACATAATACAGAACACTAATAGACAAGAAATTGAAACTAAGAACACTAGGACTAAAGAATAATACGACTAAAGTCTCTTAGGTTTCATAGTAAGACATTCCCATTGAGGCATCAGTTTGGCTTACATTACTTTGCTTTGACAATATAATAGCAATACATGTTATGTTTGTGTTTATCTTCCTCCTAAACAACACACTGTAGCGACAGCCAGAGCTGGGTTTGAACCAGCGACCCTGCAGAAATATAGCTAGCACACTACCACAGGTGCCATAAAGCTCCTGACGTGTTGGTAAAGGTCCTTGGTTTATATGCATACAGGGATACTGTTAATACTAACGCTACATGCTGTACATAAATAGCAGTGCAAGGCCATCTAGTGGCCATGTGGTTATCAAGTACAGTAAAACGCCCCCCTTGACTCAACACTAATGTGAAGTAAATGAAATGGAGGGGTCCATATTGATAGTCTTGAACTGGACAGGTGATGATACATTCATGGTGGGCTTTCACCTAGCCTGTGTTTTCAGATTAAGGCAGATGAAGGAGAGGAAGCAACTTCAGACTATTGAGACGAAGCCTATGCCCCACTTGCAGCTGCTGCTGTGGTCTGAAGATCATGATTTATATTTACAGTGGAGTCCGTGGTAAGCCTTAATGCGTGGTGGGCACACATAGACAGCGTAAATATACCCTCAGTCATCTCAGTCAGCTGTAATGGTTGTTTTGCTCACCTGGGTGGGTGAGCACTGGCGCCGTCGGTAATTATGAAGTGTGTAGGGTGGAGTAGACTGTCAGACTCTGTCTGCCGGGTTGTAGCAACATCACATAAAGAACGTCAGATGGCGCCATCACCTCTCGCTGATCCGAAGGAGAGTGCGAGCAGAGAGCGCACTGAGGGCGCAACAAATATCCAAAGCTTCCAACATTCTTTGCAAGTGAAAAAGTTATTATTGCCCAAAAAATAAAAATAAACAACTACAAAATATATAAAACCTTTGTCATAATAATACACTGTATAAAAAAGGGTACTGAATCATGATAACATGAAATGGTATTAAGGTGCAAAAGGTGTCACACAGTCAAGGTTTTTTTCTTTGGGTTCTTGCCCACCCATCAGTCTCCTGGTTCACGTCACACCAGACCGTCTCATCCAGAGGAGCAGACACCTGAAGCTTCAGACATTCTATGTCTTGGATACGAGAAGATGACACCACTCAACCATATCTAGGCTATGGAGTAGAAACAGATGAGCGGTTTATTTATTGGCAACTATCATAATAACAGTGGGCTATTTGATCATAATTTACCACGTAGAGGAAATCATTGGAGACTTGGACAGTGGATAATTACCTTGGAGAACAACTTTTAGAATACAATGGAATATAAAGTTATTTGCAGTTCTGTATAGAGTTATGGCGCTATAACTGGAGTTTTACAGACTGCTGACACAGCTATGCAATCATCTCAGACTACCTCGATTCACTACGCCATGCACGAATCACAGGAATCTCAAATCTTACCTTTTTCAAGGGCTACAGGAGGCAACTTCTTCCCTAACCAACCAACCGGACACTGCACGGATCCGCCGCACGGCCAGCTCAAGTTTGACTCTCATTCTTTTCTGGAATATAATGGGAATAACGGTCTCTACAGTCCCGGGATGTATGAGTTTGGGTTCCCCACCTCTTACGGTTGTTACGGATCTTATATGGGCTCTTCACCTCTCCCCACGGACACAGGTGGGTAGCATTATCACAGTATTTCACTATTTGTTGATTCGAGTGTGGCTGTGCCCTTTAATGCCATGATTTGTCTGCTCCTAAATGTGGACCGAGGTAAAAGTAGTTTCATATTGGATATTTGGTGGATATTCGGTTTAATCGCATCAGTAGCTATTGAACGGCTTTTAAAAAAATAACAAGTGGATTTTTCTCCTTCCTCCCGATTCAGAATATATAATTTTCAGTCATGGCACGCTTTGTGTAATAGCTATTGAAGATTGAAATCCCCCTCCAAAAAAATCGAACTAAAGGAAAAGCTGTGGATTTTTGTCCATCCTCCCTGATTCAGAATACACTGAGTGTACAAAACATTAGGAACACCTGCTCTTTCCATGACTGACCAGGTGAATCCAGGTGAAAGCTATGATCCCTTATCGATGTAATCTGTTAAATCCACTTCACAGTGTAGATGAAGGGGAAGAGACAGGTTAAAAATGATTTTTAAGCATTGAGATAATGGAGACATGGATTGTGTATGTGTGCCATTCAGAGGGTGAATAGGCAAGACAAAATATTTAAGTGCCTTTGAATGGGTATGGTAGTAGATGCTTTGTGTTAGAGCTATTGAAGATTGAAAGCCCCCCCCCCACAAAATATTTTAGGACTAGCCCATACTGCCCCTTTTTTATTGTATTTTCTTTTTATTAACCCATTAACTCTTCAGAGGACACATCTTTTTTTGTTTTTTACAGCTTTTCTGCTACATATACGTACATTTTACGTATACATTTTACATTCATGGTACTTTTATATAAAGCAATCACATCACAACAATATATTACCAAACATAAGCTCTATTAATCCAAGATGAAAACCTTTCCTACGAGTATTATTCTATTATTTATTGACTGACCATGGCTTTCCAAATCCCCAACACTGCTATTTGTAAGGTTAATTTTAAGTGAATGTTGGAATTTCTTTTACCATTCCTGAACCTGTGACCAGAAACAAGCTACATAGGGGAAATACCAGAATAAATGATCTAGTGATTCTGTCTCCTCGCAGCAAAATCTACAGAGCTGAGATTGTTGTATGCCACACATACTTTCCCTTTTAGTAGCCTATCATTTGGCAATTTCTGTGCTTTTCAGAAACATTGTGTTGGTTCTTTATGCCAGGTTTTGTTTTAATCATAGTACAGGCTACATTGTGTTAATCAATGATAGTCCTACTATTAATGGTCATACACATTTTCTCAGAGAAAGAGGAGAAGGAGCCAGAAGTCCGAATGGTAAAGGGAAAACAAAAGAAAGTCCGGAAGCCCAGAACCATCTACTCCAGCCTGCAGCTGTGCGCGCTCCAGTGCAGGTTCCGAATGAGGCAGTATCTGGCGCTACCTGAGCGCGCGGCGCTGGCCGCTTCACTAGGTCTCACGCAGACACAGGTGCGCTATGTTAATTTTCTGACCATGATTGACTTTAATGATAATCATTTATGATTTAAAATAGTATTATTTTCATTATATGCTAAATGTATTTCATATGTACAGTAAGTACATAAGTGCACTACGCTTTCTGCCAAAAGGTCTGGAGGTAGCAGTGTGCTTGTATGATAAGAATTTCAAACACCACCTATACTTCCGCATGTCTACTCCTCTCCCAGGTGAAGATTTGGTTCCAGAACCGTCGCTCAAAGTTGAAGAAGCTGTGTAGAAACGGGCAGATGCCACCGGAACAGCAGGAGATCCCGTGTGACTCCCCTAGGTCCAGCAGCTCTCCTCAGGCCACAACGGTGCACTGGGCCCCCCATGGGATTACCGAGACAGGAGGCTCAAGCAATGAGCAAGACTGTATCCCTCCAATCGCCCCATCCTTTTACAGTAACTACTCTTGGTACTCAGCAACAGACTCTGTGGCACTCTCCCAGCTGAGTCCAGTACTACATCAGCAACCTAATCCTACAGTTGATGTGGGGTCAATTGATTGATATACAGGATAATGAAAACCTGCTAAAGGGAAAAGCTATTTGTGTGGACTCTGCTTTCACCTGGCAGGAATATGAGCAATTGGGGCTTTTTATTTAGCAGATAAACTGTTTATGACCAGTTTATTTCAACGAATTCCTGTATGTTTGAGAATAACGTTGCTATCGAATATTGTGTAATAAATGTGCCATATTGTACATATGAAAATAATGTGGCCTAAGAAACTTAAAAGGCATCGTTTCAATATAATTAGTTGAAATACCTAGAGCACGGTATCTGATTGAACTAGAGGAAGAACAAAATAAATTACTAACAACGTAGAGCTGGAGGTTGATGTCATTAGAGACTATTAGTAGAGCAGAATACATCATGCATGCAGCCAAACAACGTAGCATCAATAACATCACGTCATGACATAATCAGCCCAGTAGATGTACGATACTCTGCAAACCTTGCAGTCCTAACAACGTTAACACAAGATAATCTTATGATGCCGTCAGTCATAGAGAAGAATGTGCTCCTCTGATTGGAATTAATTTGATTTCCTGAAACATTAAGTCCAAATGTGTTTAGCAACATTGCAATGACCACATAGGTTCCAAATATTTTGTCAGACAAAAAAGTGAAAGGTAAATTATGATATTTTGTAGAACTTCAAAATTAACGACATGCTTTAATGATTCAAAGACAGACACTGTTTTTAATTAAAAGTGAACTAAAGCTTTATTTAAATAATATCACATTTTCTACACACCAGACATACAAAATAATGCACTAGTGCAGTCTCATTTTAGTTATATCAATGCCCAGTTTCCTAGTCTCTCTGTGGTGCTAAGCCCTGGGTCCGTTTGGTGTTTTACCTCTTCACAGATGTGGATGTGACTGGGGTGTGAACAGCTAATCTGAAAACAGGGATTAGACTCCTATTGGTGATGGCTCGTCCTCCTCGGGTAGTTTGGTGAGAATATCCACACCGTCAGAGGTGATGATTACCGTGTGATCTGAACACACACACACACACACAGGTTATGCCGGGGGCATCAGTGACACTTTGGGCTATAACCCTTTATGTCAGTCGTATGTAGGCTGTAAGTGGCCTACCTCTTGTCGTCTGCAGACACTGCTGTCCACTTGTCCTTCAGGATTCTGAACTCTGATGATCCTTCCATCAATATGGGCTCTGCATACACAGATTTAACTTTAAAGGGATACTTTGGGATTTTGGCACAATGACTGGAAGTCTATGGGTATCTGCTAGCATGCTAGTAGATACCCATAGACTTCCAGTCATTGCGCTAACACTAGTTAGCATTGGCTCGATAAACTACCTCTAGCTTCCTTCATACTGGACACAGAGACATAACAATGGTATCCACAAGTTCATCTGACTCTGGGGAAGTAGATAATGGGCATCATTGCCAAAATCCCAAATTATCCCTTTAACACACATGCAGCTAGATACACACACTCCTATTCATCAAATGATGTAAAATGCATCATAATGGCTGTATTTCTGTATTTTGAAAGTTATATATCTTGGAAACTTGACTGCTGACATGCAAAACATTTTGGGACTATATCAACATTGGACTAATGAAACAAATACCAAAAGATAGTTTTTGGGTTGAGTTTTCCTATAACATACACTGATAGACATAGGAAATGTAACTGACCTATCTATAGTGAAAGTCATCCCTTCGTCCATGGTCATATCATTGTCATTTGTCCTCCCGAGTGGCGCAGTGGTCTAAGGCACTGCATCGCAGTGCTAGCTGTGCCACTAGAGATCCTGGCCGCGACCGGGAGACCCATGGGGCGGCGCACAATTGGCCCAGCGTCGTCCAGGGTAGGGGAGGGAATGGCCGGCAGGGATGTAGCTCAGTTGGTAGAGCATGGCGTTTGCAACGCCAGGGTTGTGGGTTCGATTCCAGTATAAAAATTAAAAATGTATGCACTGAATAAGAGTGTCTGCTAAATGACTAAAATGTAAATGTCATTAGCTGTCAGATAAATGAGAAAGTTATATTTAGGTCCAATATACTGTAGGTAGGGTTGCAAAATTCCTGGAACTTTCAATACATTCCCTAGTTTTACAGAAATCCTGGTTGGAGGATTCCGGATTTCCTACCTATTCCTACAACCGGGATTTCAGGAAAACCAGGAATGTATTGAAAGTTCCTGTAATTTTGCAACCCTAACTCTAGGTAATGGTGAATGAGTGGGACCATATAAAACTATAGGATTGCTGTGAGATACCAACTCTTACCATGGTGCCAGATCTCAGGATGGCAATGGAAGTAGTAGCCTATGCCATGTCCAATGAAGTAGGGACACACATGGAAACCATTGGAGTGGGCTATATCACTGTAGGAGGAAGTGAGGGACAGTAGCTTATACAAAACAACAGAGGTATCGTGTGTGTGTGTGTGTGTGTGTGTGTGTGTGTGTGTGTGTGTGTGTGTGTGTGTGTGTGTGTGTGTGTGTGTGTGTGTGTGTGTGTACCTGATAGTGTTACCTATAACACACAGTGGAGCCCCAGGTTTACAGGCAGCAATGGCCTCATCTCTACACTTCATGGCTGTCTTCACTAGCTTTCGCCCCACCTCATCCACACAGCCAATCAGGAATGTCTCTGAGGTGTCACCATGGTAACCCTCCAGATAGACCTGAAGAAGGGGTTAGGGGGGTAAGGAATGTGGAACAGTGGATCGTGCCGTGTGTGTGTGTGAAGGGGGTAAAACTCACAGTCACATCAACGTTGATAATGTCTCCATCTTGCAGTTGCCGGGTGTCAGGTATTCCATGGCAGACCACATTATTGACAGAGGTGCAGACTGATTTGGCGAACCCCCCGTATCTCAGGGGGGAGGGGTATGCGTTGTGACGAATCGTCTCCTGGTGGACGATGAAATCTATCTCATCTGTCATCATGCCAATCTGGGAGTCAGAGGTGAAAGATATGACGTTATTACAGTTTTTCTCAATTGCTAAAACACTAAAACCCATTGGCTGAACAAAGTTATCAGTTGCCTGGACTAATTTAGCTAATTATGCAGTCTGTTGTCAATACCTTAAACCATTTCACATGGTAAAACACAATTTGCAGATCTCACTTAAGACTTTTCAGCAAAACTATAAACACATTCTCAAAACACATTCTGCACTCTAATGTACATGTCATCCATACTGGTAAACACAAGTGGCAACAATCAAATACAAATAGAGAACACATGTCATTGATTGAACACAACCACTCAACATTTATTTAACCTGTTTCAAATGATGCAACACAACCAATATAAGCCAGTTCAGAGAGCAAACAGGTTGTTGAAGGTGGGAAGGAGAAAGTCTGAGAATGGATAGAAGAAACAATGTGAGAGGACGAGGACGAGTGTGTATGCGAGGTGGGCGACGAGGAGGAAGAGGAGGAGGAGGGCAAGAAAGACGAAGAGGAGGACGAAGAGGAAGAGGAAGACAAAGAGTGGAAATATCTGATGAAATTCGAGCAACAGTCATAGACCATGTTCTTGTCCATGGACTGACAATGAGGGAAGCAGGACTTAGAGTGCAACCCAATTTGAGACGATTTTCTGTGTCCACCATAGTAAGGACATTCAGAGAAGAGAACAGGTACAGTATACTACTGTATTTTTGTAATTGCAAATGTACTGTACTACACTATATGCAGCTGTTTCAATAGACATTTGTAAAAAGTTAATCACTGTATGTATTGTACTGCATGAAGAATTGCAAGGCTGCCACATGCAGGTGGAAGGACAGCTATATTCACTCGGGAGCAAGAGGCCATTATAGTTGGCATGGTCCTTCAAGATAATACAATACGACTCAGAGAAATCCAGGAACGAGTGATATAAGACAACACACACTTCCAGGGAATCGACAGTGTGAGCATTTCCACAATTGACCGTGTCCTCCATCGTAACAGGATGCGAATGAAACAAGTATACAGAGTACCCTTTGAGCGCAACTCACCAAGGGTGAAAGAACTGCGAGCTCAGTATGTGCAAGTAAGTGTACATTCAGAAACATTTACTGTAATCCAGATTGTCTATAGTACTAACACATACTATGTGAATGACATTACTCTTCAGTACATACAATGTATGTGAATCAGAAGTGCATACAGTAGGCCTAATTGTACTCTACAGGATAGCACTGTCTCTGTACGACTTACAAAATCCTACATACAGTATATTGTATTTCTACACAGACAATATTTGACTTGGAATCCTTGGACAGACCCCATGAGTTAATCTTTGTCGATGAAGCAGGCTTCAATCTAACAAAGAGGAGAAGGAGAGGCCGAAACATGGTTGGACAGCGGGCCATTGTTGAAGTCCCTGGTAAACGAGGTGGCAACGTCACAATCTGTGCTGCTATCAGCAACCATGGTGTTCTACATCACCATGTTACACTCGGGCCATATAACACCCAGCACCTTCTAAGATTTATTGCCAATCTAAGAGATATTTTATTTGAGCAGCAGGTTCAAGAGCAGCAGGGTCAAGAGCTAAATGAGAATCCCATTCCCACCTATGTGATAGTGTGGGACAATGTCAGTTTCCACCGAGCTGCTCAGGTAAGGGAATGGTTTTACATCAATGGGCAGTTTATGAACTTGTACCTCCCTCCATACTCGCCTTTCCTGAATCCGATTGAGGAGTTTTTCTCCTCTTGGAGATGGAAAGTGTATGATAGACAACCCTACACCAGAGTAAATCTGCTGCAAGCCATGGATTTAGCCTGTGGTGATATAGGTGAGGAATCATGTCAGGGCTGGATACGGCACACAAGAGGCTTCTTCCCCCGTTGCCTCAGGAGGGACAATATTGCTTGTGATGTCGACGAAGTGCTCTGGCCTGACCCAGCCCAAAGACAAGAAGAAGCACATTGATCACATGTTTACTCCTTTGATTTTTGTCCCTTTTAGTATTGTATACTGTAGTACAGTGCATTGTAGGCTGTATACTGTACAATGGACAAATTGTATGGCCCTGAACATTGTGCTTTCCATTTGTTAACAGTACTGACTGCTCAATAGATTTTGACTGGTTGCAGGTTCATATCAACAAAGAACAAGAATTACAGTATCACAGAGACAAAGGACAAGTTTGTGAGATGCAGGGTACAGTACTGTAAAAATAGGGGTACAAGAGGAGGAAGAACAACAAACAAAATTGCAAAGAGCAAAGCAGAGTAGTAATTTCTGATCAATTTTGAGCTACTATGATAGAACATGTTTTCGTTCATCAAAAGACAATGACAGAAAAATATTAAATTTGTTTTGAGATTTAAAATGTACTTCTCCCTGAGAACTGTATGTTTTGAACAATGTGTTTTCTATTTTTCGGTGTATTGTTTACTGACTGCTTGAGAGTGTACAGTGCTATGAAAAAGTATTTGCCCCCTTTCTAATTTTCTCTACTTTTGCATATTTGTGATACTGAATGTTATCAGATTTTCAACCAAAACCTAATATTAGATAAAGGGAACATAAGTGAAAAAATAACACAACAATTACATATTTATTTCATTTATTCATAAACAAATTTATGTAACACCCAATTCCCCTGTGTGAAAAAGTAATTGCCCCCTTACACTCAATAACTGGTTGTGCCACCTTTAGCTGCAATGACTCCAACCAAATGCTTCCTGTGGTTGTTGATCAGTCTCTCACGTCGCTGTGGAGGAATTTTGGCCCATTCTTCCATGCAGAACTGCTTTAACTCAGTGACGTGTGGGTTTTCAAGCATGAACTGCTCGTTTCAAGTCCTGCCACAACATCTCAATTGGGATTAGGTCTAGACTTTGACTAGGCCATTCCAAAACTTCCAATTTGTTGCTTTTTAGCAATTTTCATGTAGACTTGATTGTGTGTTTTGGATCATTGTTTTGCTGCATGATTCAGCTGCATTTCAGCTTCAGCTGACAGACGGATGGTCTGACATTCTTCTGTAGAATTCTCTGATACAGAGCAGAATTCATGGTTCCCTCTACTAAGGCAAGTCGTCCAGGTCCTGAGGCAGCAAAGCATCCCCAAACCATCACACCACCACCACCATGCTTGAGCTTTGGTATGATGTTCTTACTGTGGAATGCAGAGTTTGGTTTTCGCCAGGCATTACTGGAACCATGTCGTCCAAAAAGTTATACTTTTGAATCATCTGTCCATAGAACATTCTTCCAAGAGTCTTGATGATCATCCAGGTGCTTTTTGGCAAACTTGAGTCCACTTTTTGGACGAGATGGGTCCCATTATGCCTGGCGAAAACCAAACACTGCATTCCACAGTAAGAACATCATACCAAAGGTCAAGCATGGTGGTGGTGGTGTTTATTTTTTGTCCTTAATTAACCAGTTAAGGATCGGACCCTTTTTTTAAATTTTCGCCTAAAATGACATACCCAAATCTAACTGCTTGTAGCACAGGACCTGAAGCAAGGATATGCATATTCTTGATATCATTTGAAAGGAAACACTTTGAATTTGTGGAAATGTGAAATTCATGTAGGGGAATATAACACATTATATCTGGTAAAAGATAATACAATCAAATAAACATCTGTTAAAAAAAATTAAACATTATATCTTTGAAATGCAGGAGAAAGGCCAGACAGTGATGGCCTCCCGAGTGGCGCAGTGGTCTAAGGCTACTAGAGATCCTGGTTTGAATCCAGGCTCTGTCGTAGCCGGCCGCAACCGGGAGACCCATGGGGCGGCGCACAATTGGCCCAGCGTCGTCCAGGGTAGGGGAGGGAATGGCCGGCAGGGATGTAGCTCAGTTGGTAGAGCATGGCGTTTGCAACGCCAGGGTTGTGGGTTCGATGGGGGGCCAGTATAAACATTTTTTTTTTATGTATGCACTCACTAACTGTAAGTTGCTCTGGATAAGAGCGTCTGCTAAATGACTAAAATGTAAATATTGAGTACATACTGTACCTACCTTGGGCACTGAGTAGGCTGGTCTGATGACAGCCTGTCTGACTACACTGTGAGAGCTCTTCCACTTCCTCCAGAAGAACTGCCGGTGCTGCTGGGATTGGACACCCCAGGGTGAGCCACAACCCCACAGACCACACCTCCTCTGGAGGAAACCCCCCAACCCTGGAAAGAGACAGACACACATTCAGATAATCAGACTACAAAGGAAACAAAACACCTAAATTGCCCAATATGAAAATTGCTAAACAGTATATCACTTTTTATCTTTAAACCCACTCACACTCACAAAGTACACACACACATACATACACACACATAAACAAACACAGACACAGTGCTCTCCTCTAGTACATGATATCCTAATAGCACTGCTTGTGGGTCCCTGTGGAGTATTCCAGTGGTACACACGCACCAATTACAGAGCGAAGATAATGTTATAAGCCAATAAGGCGTAATGTAGTCAAAATAGAACTATGACACACCAGACATCTACAGTATATGGCTCTGGACTACAGACAGTCATTCCATTATAGACTCTCCAAGAGAGTTTCTAATAGAAAGTCATATCATTAAATATTAGCTCATCCACTCATGGTCTGCAGGCAGCTTAACTAATGGAACAGTCACGTGAAAATCAGGTGAATTTGACACTGATTGATTTGACTCAATATGAGGCCTGTATTAATCAACTCAATGCAAATTGAGACAGCATTTGCAAATGTCAGCCTTTCCCAGAAACGGATCTAAGGATAGTACATCTGGTTTCCACCCTAATGGCAAAGGTTAGGATAGGGGGAGAGTACTGATCCTAGATATTTCGTCAAGGGCCACTTCTACAAGGTACAGACAGGACAGGCGCCCCATGTTTGTTAACATCTGCCAAAGGCTGAACCCACCTGACAGGCCGTCAAGCCTGTCAATCCCATAGGTCTAAAGTCTATCCAAAGACATGTAGCTTTATTTCAAAACACAACTGTCAGTATAGATTACAGCTGTCAACCTCACGTTATGGAACATGCATCCTCTGATCAGTGTAATAGTGCTTCTCAGAGGATGTCATCTTTTTATTTGAAGTTCTATGATCAAATGTATTTATAAAGCCCTTTTTACATCAGCAGGTGTCACAAAGTGCTATACAGAGACCCAGCCTAAAACCCCAAACAGCAAGTAATGCAGATGTAGAAGCATGGTGGCTAGGAAAAACTCCCTAGAAAGGCAGGAACCTTGGAAGAAACCTAGAGAGGAACCAGGCTCTGAGGGGTGGCCAGTCCTCTTCTGGCTGTGCCAGGTGGAGATTATAAGAGTACATGGCCATTTAAGGCCAGATTGTTCTTCAAGATGTTCAAACGTTCATAGATGACCAGCAGGGTCAAATAGTAATCAGTGGTTGTAGAGGATGCAACAGGTCAGTACCTCAGTAGTAAATGTCAGTTGGCTTTTCATAGCCGAGCATTCAGAGGTCGAGACAGCAGGTGCAGTAGAGAGAGTCGAAAACAGCAGGTCCGGGACAAGGTAGTACGTCCGGTGAACAGGTCAGGGCATTGTTTTCATTTCGCTCATTCGCCATCTTTGGTTGAACATTTGTTCGTGGTTCTCTGATTATTGATTTATTCGCGAGTTCTTACCTGCTCTTGATAGAAGCTTGGCGCCACCGGTCGCCGCCATATTGTTTGTAGTGGAGGATCACATTACATTACATCACGGATTGGATTTGCATAGATTCACTCAGGGCCATAAAATAATGTTCAAGACAAGCAAGCACACACATTTTCTTTGGGAAATGTCATTTTTTCAGTCCATCTCCCTGTCTAATGTATTGATCAATCAAATATTGAATGTCATACGTGAGAAATACAATCTATTCCAGAGGCTCATCAGCTTTTTATAAAGTGCAAAAGCACGTTCCTTCGCTTACGGCCACACCAGCCTGAATACGCTTGATCTTGTCCGATGTCAGAAGCTGAAAAATGTATGCACTCAGCTTAACTGTAAGTCGCTCTGGATAAGAGTGTCTGCTAAATGACTAAAATGTAAATGTAAACAGGGTCGGGCCAGGTAAATACTTGAATTGGAGACCGCCTGGGAACACCAGGTGCTGTAAGATTTTTGTCCAGTAGGGTGTACTGGTCTCATGTATTATAAAGGAGCAACCAATGAGCCTTTCATTCATAACAGTAATAATAATATGATGATGCTGGTCAGTCTTGCTGATGTCAAAACCAAACATGGTTGGCAATTTAGGTTATAATTACCGTTGAGCATACCAATGTAGGGTTCAAACAGCAGGATCAACACCTCAGTATCAGGTCACCATGTGAGTGAACAGGTTGGTGACCACCGATAGTAGGCCTACGTGTTACATATTGCTTTATCCTCTTTAGTGAGATAGCAAAAGTCACCAACAAGCATTTTATTTTTAATTGTTGTTTGTTGGGATTATATAGCCTACAGATAAATCACTTTTTGCCCCAGCATTTGACAGATAAAAATGAAAACTGTTCAGTAAACAATCATGTTCACCCTCATCATTCAGAGCAATCCGATACATTAAACTGCCTCAAAAACATTTAACCCCAAAGGGCTTTCAACCACTATTATCCTACTACTACACAGGATCTTGACCAGTATAGGCCTACAGAGGACAGCAGTCAGCACAAACATTAGTTACAGTTTGTAACACATAGACAAAGCCAACTAAAAGTGTACAATGAGAATGTAGGTCAATTTATCAAAGACAACAACCCTGTTCTTATCACTGACAGACACCTCAACAAGGTCAGAAAGTTTCACTTACTTCCCCAGGCTTAGGAACTAATGGGAGAAACTTGGGTTTCTGAGGCTAGTCATTAAACTGCATGCTGTGTAGCAGAAAAACATACTTTGGAAAGTGATCAACCAAAGAAAAAGCATCTCAGCTGTGCTCTTTTTGGATGTGTGTGTGTGTTTGACTATTTGACCTTCTAAACATTGCCTGAAGACCATTATCAACAATACTCTGCATGTTTGTCAGCAGGTAACCTGCATAGCCTCCTATTCTAGAGTTTCTGCCAAGACGTCTAGAACTCTATGGCACGAGAGAGAGAGAGAGAGAGAGAGAGAGAGAGAGAGAGAGAGAGAGAGAGAGAGAGAGAGAGAGAGAGAGAGAGAGAGAGAGAGAGAGAGAGAGAGAGAGAGAGAGAGAGAGAGAGAGAGAGAGAGAGAGAGAGAGAGAGAGAGAGTAGATAGAGACGAGAGAGAGAGGAGAGAGAGAGGGTCATAGCTACATATGAGGCCCCCGAGGTCCGAACCTCTGTAAAAAAAACTAAACTTACTGTTGTGAGTTAGAATAGTAGAGTACACAAGGTGCAATTTCGAAACTTGGTTGTGCATCAGCAGCTTTCCTCTTATTATATGTCACTCACTGACAGTCACTCAGTTAGCCCATGTCAGTAGTTAGTCTAGCCAGCTATCTAAACTTATAGTAATCATGTTCGAATTACCGACCGGGCACGCATGGCATGTGGGAGGGCCCTGACCTCTAGTGGGCCGCCATTGATTTTGTTAGTCACTCTCACTCAGATATCATATTAACATGGTACATGTCATGGCAAAAGGTGCAGAATTGCAGGTGTGGTATCGCGTCGACGCTGGTACCTATTGCTGTCAAACAAAGAGTCCGCTCATACTGAACTTTGATCATAAGGTTTATTCATATCACAAGATTTCAGCATGAGCTTACTCTTTGTTTGACAGCAATAGGTACCAGCATCGACGCGATACCACAAATGGGGGCTCGTCTGGGATCGGTCTGCATCGTTCTTTGTTCCATTCATGAGCCACGAGGTGACTACCGCTCAAGCCGGCTAAGGTGAGATTTCTCAAAAAATTTTGGCCGTTGGCTGTTTCGTTGGCTTATGAGAGGGCATGGGAAGGGTGTACCGTGTAAAATTACTAGGGTGTGTGCTGATGTGTTTTTGTTGCTGTCGACAAAGGGTTTGTAATAATTATTCTAAATTTGGGTTACATTGGTGAACGGCGCAAAAGGGGAAGGAATAGGCTTCAATAGGAAGTCTAGAGCAATCTATGGTAGTGAATGAGGCAGATATTAAAGGCAGATATGGAATTTTAGAGCAATCGATGGTAGTAAAAAGGCAGATATACAAGGCAGATATTAAAGGCAGATATACGTATACAATTAGGGCATTGCAATCTTGTAAAGACCCCAGGGGGGCCATCCAGGATGGGCCGAAAAACCTTCTGCGCGTTAGATGTGTATTAGGTGGGTTCTAAGGGGTTCTGGGGACTCGGGTTGATGGAATTTATTTGATTGTGGTTACTGCTCATCTTTTATCCGACGGGATATTTGCTTGGGGGAACCTCTCGTTAGATATCCATTGAACCCACGGCATCATAAACGGTAGAGAATAAGAAGAAAAGGGCAATGCAGGTTACATTGTTATGTGTTGCAAGCCACAGGTTAGATACATGCTAATGCTAATGCTAAATGCTGATATGTTGCATGCTACATGCTAACAGGTGACCTTAGAGGGCCATTGCGATGGAATAAAGCCTCTTAAATTATGTTTGTGTGTGTAGAATTTAGGTTCTATGCTGTGTGAGCTCTGTTAAATGTTGTTTAACTATGAGGAAGAGAATGGAGTTACAGCAGGACTGTTAACTGTCTATTTGGGTTGGGGAGAGAGCTAAGAATCTCCCTTCCACGGTGAAATCGTATGGTTAAATGTAATGCGCATGCGTGTGATTTTACTAAACTACAACACGTTTGATTTTACTACACTAGGTTACGACACGGGGGATTTTACGGCACTAGATTATGACACGTTTGATTTTACGGCACTACACTACAACACGAGGGATTTTACTAAAACTACAACAAGGGGGATTTTGGGTAAATGGGTCATACTTCTGTTACACTGCAGGGGGAGACAGAGACACAGACGAGGGAACAAAGAGGAGAGATTTTAACACGAATGGAATCTTCTAGTTGTTACATCGGCTGTTGGTTAAAGATGAAACTGTTTTTGTGACCTATTGAATTGATAAATGAGAGAGAGATGTTGACGGATTAAAAATAAAAAATAATTAAATAAAGAAATAAAATAAAAATGTTATTGAGCTATTTGAATGCGATTCCTGAGTTGATTCTTAGAGCGAATGTGACTGGAGGAATATTGAATGCTGGAAATAACTCAGGGAATGTATAAACTTTAAATTCTTGTCTGTTTCTATGCTCTTTTGTCATATGAGAGGAACGATAGGACGAGAGGAGAGAGAGAGAGAGAAAGAGAGGAGGGGCTGGCGTGTACGTCACGTGACAAGGATCGAGTCAAAAAGGTTTTGGTACTGTTCTGTTAACAAAATCTTCCCCTACAGGATATTTGATGTTATGACAATTTCACAGAGGCTTGGCAAATACTGATTCATTAAAAATTTGCATTTTGAAGTTTCTGTGCATCACTTGGGTTGATTGGAGTTGTGTTGGGAATCGAGTACTGACATTATTCTGTAAAATTAAGATAATTGGGTGCTTATAAAGCAAGGGGGTTTATCCACTAATTGATAAATTGGTAAAATAGGAATAATAGGAATATAGAAATAAAAAAATAAAAAAATTGTTTTAATTATTCATAATGTTTTAATAGATTTTTATTTTATTGATTTTTTTTATTTTAATTAAATGTTTTTTTTTGAATAAATGTTGTTAATATAATTTTTTTACATTCATATTTTTGTTGATTGATAAAATAAAAATAAATAAAGGTTATATTAATAATTAAAGGGGGGATGCCATAGGCTATATAGTCTAAAATAAAATAATTCACAATAAAGGAATATAAAAGAGTTGGTACAATGGGAAAAAGATATCAGGACTATGAAGGTAATTACACCTGCTGGTATAGTACAAAATAGTAATCCTTTAACTAAAGTATTGCAAGGTTATCTGGCAAATGAAACAAAAGTTGGCCTGACATTGAACAAACCATAGCTAGTAGAGGGAATCTTAACCCTGACGTCATCAACATAATGAAAGTGCTTCTGTCAATTCATAAAGCAGATCAAAAGAAGGGGAAAAAGGGAACAACGTAAAGAAAAGAGACAGAGAACTGGGTGTTCTTAAGTTGCCCTTCATTCTCAAACAAAAACTGATAAAAGATTCCAGCGATAAGATAAACAAAGGTATAGAGAAAATGCTAAAGGAAGAGAAGGCAACAGAAAAACTAATGGCAGAAGTTAGTACACCTTTCTCACATACGGATTCAGCAAAAATACCCCCACCTTATGAGAAGGAAGTAGAGCTTAGGGATGTTTATCCTCAGCTTCCAGTGATCATCCAGGAGGGTGATTATTGCATCAGAGATGAAGATGAACGAATAATAGAGAGAGGACAAGCAGAAACGACCAGAAAGATGAATCCAAAACTCCAGAAGTAAGGAAAACCGAGATGTCTGGAAACTAAGAGAAGAATGAGGTTCGGGAAGATGAAGATAAAGATGAAGATACAGAAGAGAAGAAAAACTGCTGAGAAAAGAATCCCAAGAATTGGAGGAGAATAATACATTGAGGCCAAGGAAAAAGGCCAATAGTAAGAAGATGATGGAAGATGATATTTCGAGGACAGAACTTAGAATATAACCTTTTGAAGAATACTGATATGTCAACAACAA